TGAGAAATCTGAAAAACAGAAGACAGATTAACCGTAACTGAAAAATCAACACTTGGGTAGAAGGGCAAAGAGTTTGGCTGTTTCGTAAGAGAAGTAAGAATTTTGGAAAATTCTCTACAAAATGTTTAGGGCCATTGTAAGATACGCACGTGGTGAGTGTATTTTCAACTAGAGGATACGTAAACAATACAAATAGATGTTTTGTTTCTTCACCAGTGTTTATTTTCCTTTTCAGGATTCGTTTATATTCCGACACTCTTCGTTTAGTCTTTTATAGACAATTTCGGCAGTTAATTAAAATCTCCTCTCTCCTGTCTTCCTCGGATTGGTCGTCTTCTATAAGACCGACTCTTCCTTACTGTTTCTTCTGGAGTGAAAAAGCGCATAGCTATAACACTCCTCTATGAGATATGAGATATGAGAATTAAAATCTCGCGACAAAAGTATTCACCGCGGTACAAACAAATGGGAACTATAACTAAATACTTAAAACTACTTATACTAAAAGGGATGAAGAAAAGATAGGCAATAGGATAGATGGATATTTGATAGAAAAGAACGGGTACCCAAAGTGCCGACGGTCTTGGATTGATGGTGGTGATATCGGAATTATATAATCTTGGAGAAATAGTTGATCGGCTAACTATCAGATATCAGACTCTCAAAATAAGCTCTCGAATATTCTTATATCGAGATATGCTTCTAGCTCCTCTCGAATATTCGCTCCGGTTTATCGTCTCCCTTCTTCTGTCGATAGCAGAACAAACTGGAGATCCTTACAACACGTCCTATCTCTCCAATGTCCAAGCAAATAGTGAGGTCTTGTTCTACCTTTAGCCCTCAGGCTACCGCCTTTTCTTTGTCTTGAAAACAGGTCACCACCACCTTAACAGGAAAGGGTTAGAGAAGAAGTTTCTGGAAGACGATAGACAAAGGAACTAACAAAGAGAAAAGGGAAACGAATGGAATACTAAGAATAACATATACAAAATAAGGCGTACGGCCACACCATACGGCATCGTACTCTTTTGAGACCAGTCATTGTAGAGATTCAGGGTAACTATCGAAATGGCCGGATAATTGTGAACGTTTTCTATGTATAAGAGTACATAAGATTACAAAAAGAAGAAAAGCCAACAAGAGCAATTTGAATGCAAGGAGGGAGAAAGCGAACAACGACCAGACGAGAATGATGCGGCCCAATACATCCGACATTGAGCACACAGACCGAACTATAATTTGTGTGAGCCCCGCAAACAGCAGAACGAAGTTGACACCCAACCGATTTCATCAGTATGACCTACGAGGTCGAAGGCTTGTTACCGTAAATTACATTACGGCAATTGACCTTTTGTGGCGGCGTATGTGGCAGTAGTTATTGTATATATTAATTTAATCATAGTTTAGAATATTTTCCTTTGTTCCTTCTCGATTCTAGAACTACAAAAAACAAAGAGCCAAAGGGACCTGAGGGCACGAGTGAGAGGGAGTGGTACAAGACTAAGGGGAAACCGAATCAAGAACAGAAAAAGTTACAATATTTTGTTCGTGTAGCTAAAATTACAATGTTTTCTCGCTCGAACGATTTTATGTTAACAATAATCAACGCGTATAGTACTAAACAAATACCTGATGATGTAAAAGTCCAAAATTCCAGTTGACCTCTAGCACAAAACTAACAGGTTCATCTTGTTGAATTTCGTCATTATCAAAATTCAGAGATAATTTGTTCAGAAGTCTTTTCTAAATTTTCTATTGGAATAAATTAATTTAAAAAAGATTCTGCTATCTTCCATTTACAGTTGACTCACGTAGTTCCTGCTCACTCGTTGTCTTCTTTCTTTCACGGTGGGAATCTCAAAAAGAATAGGAAGGAACAACCTTAAATATACCTTAACTAAAGGTAAGAGTGACTGCAAACAAAAAGTTACAAAACAAAGAAATAATATAAATAAATAAAAAATATCAAAATGGTGTTGTAACACTACAGGAGGAACAGTGCTCGTCTGATAAGAACTTCTTTCTTTCTTCTGCTTCTCAGTTTATACTGATAAGAACTTGAATACTATCAATAGATATAAAGGATAAGCAAAAGAGTCATCAGTCCGAGCGAATTCCACGTGGTTTCCAACCGAAAATGTGCAAAGTTCCTTACATCCCAGATATTTCATTCTTTTCTATATCCTATTTCACTATTTATCACTCTCCCTGTTATCTTCCCTCAGTTTAAGTTAGTTAACGTAATAGAAAAAAAAAAAATCCAGCAAGGAGCTACTTTACTTTCCATCAACATTTACATCTGCGAGTGTGGCATCATGTGTTATAATATTTTATAATTAATTAAAAACTTTTTATATTTTTAATTATTATAAAATGGTAAAAAGCTTAATTTTAAGGGCAGGAGTGGGTTTTATAAAAAAAAATTGCAAATTCTAATAATGAGTAATAACAGAATTGGGAGAGTAAAAAAAAAATGAAATTTTAAATCAAATCTCGTTGTAGCCAAGTAATAAACTCTTTGTGGACCAGTTTGAGTAGCATTAGCTCTATCAAAAAGACAAAACGTTTGATTTAAAAAAATTATCGCTGTTTATGGTGTGATTACTTCTTTAATTAATTTTATTAGAATTTAAATAATTTATTCTTACTGTTTTATGATAAAAGTAATTTTATCCGGATATGGCATCCTATAGCTATAAAACCGGTGTTCTTGTTATGCAAAAAAATAGGTTATATGGAAGTTCTTAGCAAATAATATCATATATATTTCTTAATCAGATTTGTTGTATTGATTTTACAGAGTAATTTTCTAAATAATATCGTAATAGCTTTGCAAAGAGAATATACGAACGTGAATATTCTTGCATCATATGAAATCAGGAAATAAGTTAACATTAGTTTGAGAAATTCAATACACACTATTATTTTTTTTATTACGCTTAAAAAGCCTTTTTTTTAATTATATGCATTATAAGTTCTATTGGTTTATCTAGTTACAGCAACGCGACACATGGGCGATCTTCCGAAGAGGATGCCTCCCGGGAGAACTTTCTATGGAAAACTGGTCTCTATTTAGGTGTTACTAACGTGAAGAAAACTCGTAAAACGCCACGTTGGCGAGGCGTGAACCCATAACCGACTATCACTGTTTAGTAGTTTTATCCACTCTGCTTCAGAGCTTCGATTGACCTATAGTAGGACGGTTGGATGGAGAAAATGACACGATCAGACATACTTCATAAACGAATTGAGCCATCTGTGAAAACTTCTGAGCCAAACCGGATCCGTATTTTAAATTAATCTCTCAGGGCAGAAGATTGGTGCTTTCATGTTCTCAAATACAGTATCTGGCTATCAAATACAGTACCATTAGCTATGTATAATTGATTAAATTTCAAGTTTTTAACACTGTGTAATAGGGGTCTGGGTGGTCTACACTATTACTTTATCAACCTAGGAGTCCAGGTTCAAGCCCGGGTGGATATCAAGAATTATTCATGAATACTTTATGTCTCTGAGAAAGTGGCTTAGCGTGGATGTCAGCCGCCTGGGGCGAAGGAAAATTTCGCCGCCCCCTTATTTAGGTATCTTAATTTAAAAGACTAAAATTCAGTTTCGTCACAGAATAAGTAATGAAAAATTCCGTGCTCATTTCAATCGGTTCGAATCGTAGGTGCGACAAAAATATGAAATGAAATGGTTCAAATTTTTACAAGATATTATTATTATTTATTGTGAAATTTTGCCCCTAAAAGTGGCGCCCGGGGTGGGCAGCTCCTGCCGCCCCCACTACGCTACGCCACTGCTCTGAGACAAAGCAACGTGAGACAAAGCCCGTCACTCACAACACGGCTGCTCCATTGTGGGCTTGGACGAATACACAATGGGCTTGCTTGAAAGGACCTCCTAGTGTCCACAGTGAAAAAAGAGTAAAAAACAATCTAAATACAATACTGTATTATAAATGACTAGCTGTTACTCGCGGCTTTGCCCGCGCGGATTTCGCAAGCAAACCCCATTTATATTCAGTATATCAACAACCATAGTAATTGTTATATAACACCTACCGCTGAGAATGATGATAATTGCCGAGAATCAAACGAACTATTTTCAATTTGATCAATTTTCTGGAACGTTTACAATCGTTCTATAATCGAACCAATATGCAATAACAAATTTGAATTTAAAACGGTTTGAACATTTTTTAAATCGAAATAGATAAATATATTTATAACAATGTCTGAAATGTTATTAATTTAATACACCTAAGTATTCGATGAAAACTAAATCCTCTCCCTCTCCCGCCCGCAGGGGAATTTCGAAAAATTCCTTCTTAGTGTGCATTGACATTTCATACCCTACTAAAACGCAGATAAAAACAAAAAAATCATAAAAAAAATAAATTTTGAAAAAACACAAAATTTATGGTGTTCCTCTACTTTTGTAACAGACTGTAAATGCAAAAGACGATGAAATTTACTTTTAAAATAAATATGAATGATATTTAATTTTTAAACGCAAAACATTAAGCATAGAATAAATTAAAAGAACACTAAATTAATGCTTATTTGTAGAACGAAACATGAAAAACAGGTTTTTTGGAAATGATTCATCTTCGATCCGGATGCTCTAGAAACTTCATTTATAATATTGGAATTATTTAAATTCTTCGCTCTAAATTTATATTTCTCTTCGAATAAACTTTATTCCCTCATTTACATCAATAATTTATATAACATTTATTTATATTTAAAAAAAATACAAAATAACAGCGGGGGGAAAAAAATCTATGATCATAAAAGCGACACGTTATAAGCAATTTTTAGCAATTTTCAAATTTTTTACAAAAATTACAAATCAAAATTATAAAATTCAAACAATATTATATTAATAATAAATAAATACGTAGAATAATAAATATAATTAAATAATTTCGAAAATAAAATATATTAAATATAGGCAATTGGGTAAATATGACCTCATTTATAGGTTGAGTCAGAATGACGTCAAAATATGGAGGAAAAGCACGGTTTAGGAGAAAGGAAACGTCATCAGAACTATTTCGTAGAAGAAAAGGAACTTGTATAATAGATTAAAGTTATTGCTTTACAATTGGAAACAATGAAAAGTTCTTCGGTATTATATTCGCTCATTTTTACTTTATTTGGATTTCTTCAACAAGGTAAATAGTCTCATTAATGTAATTGAGTTTATAACTTTGATTTAATTATTTCAATTAATTTGTTGACATGATTGAATCTGATTATCTTTATATTAATGTAAACATTTAAGATTCAAAGTAATTAACACTTGATCCATTTCATAGTAAATGTCACTGTACCAGTCGACCCCCCTATAACACTGTTGATAATTCCGTTTTATATGAATTCCACGTTGTACGAGTCACTTAGATTTTACAAATACGTGAACCGTTCACAGCCCGGCACACGTATTTGTAAAATCTAAGTGACTCGTACAACGTGGAATTCATATAAAATGTTATCATCAACAGTGTTATAGGGGGGTCGATTGTACTGTAATGAAAATCTATTGTATAATTGTATTTTATCAAACATACCTAATAAAGGACCATACCAAAAGGGGGTGTTATAATAAAAATGATATAATAAATATAATAAACATGATATATCAGTTCTATTGTATTATACATTATAGACTGATGTGGGAGAAATGGTTCCAAATTCATTACCTTTTGTAAAAAATAGAAAATAAAGTCTAATTTTTCTATAGGATGTGAATAGTTCTCCGTAGCAACTTTGCGCCTAATTCCAAAGAACGGGAGATAACGAGGAACGATGGAGTACTAATAAGAAAAATGTTTATTTTCGGTTTACTTTGGAAACACTGAGTGTATTTTACAATTACAGTAAATCTACATATATAGTAATTCATATATTTTAAATAATCGATATGTGAAGTGACCTTAAAACAAAACCAAAACCGGTTTTTTATTTATATTTTAAAAGTAACCGAAATCAATGCCCCTTTTTTAGGTACGTTCGATAAAATTACAAATTTATCCTAAGTACGTGCGTTATTAATATATTTTTAATTAAAATATTAATAAAGGAAAGAAGAAATAAAAGTTTACGTACGGAAATTTTTATATTGGAGTATTCCGTATTGTGTAGATTTGTTTCAATTGAATTTTTATCGCTCTATATCTTAGGTTGTGTTGTAAATAAAAATAATCTATTTTCATGTTTTTATCAAATAATATGATAGTACTATGTTGTTAATTTATGTACAGAACACTTGCTAATATGGACTCTCGGTTATCTGATGTACAGTACCTTGTTTTATGTTTCTCTTCGTGTTTTTTTTAAGGGCATTCGGTAAACTTGTAAAACTTAAAAATAATTTCAGTATTTGTAAGTTACATAATTATCATAATAATTGTTATATTCCATGTTCAAGGAGTTAATAAAGTTGTGTAAATTTGCTATATATCACTCAATATTCAAAGAAATTATATGAAGAAAGGATTTGATGACACTATGTATAGATTAAAAGACCAGTAAAGTAGAAAGCAAAAAGTCTTGAAATACAGTATAAAATAAATAAAATTCTCATTAAAATATAGACTTCATATAAAATAAGACAATCATATTTATATAAAAAGAAGGAAAGACAGATTTATTTGTTTACTGTATTTTGATGAAATAATTATAGCAACCAGCGATAATGATTATATTAAAAAAACTAATATCACATAATACTTTGAAACAAAGGCCAGATGGTATACTGCAATAACTCCTGATTATACTGTGCATGTTGGGAGACAAACCAAATGAGCAGTTTATCAGATGTATGATATAACCATATATCTGTTCATCTGTTTTGTCTGTTTTCGATCTTCGTGCAGACTTGCTTTTTTGTTTTTTTTGTTGTATATTATACAATGATAGTTTTAGGGTCAATGATTGGAATAAGATAGTATTTCTTTGCCAGTTCAATAGAAATTTAATGATAACTAATTTTTTTTAAATTATTGGCTAATGTGTTCTTATGGTTGGAAGACAAAACAAAGCACAATATATCTGAATAAGAGATTTAATAAGGGACTACTGTACTAAGAAATTCAAATCGAATGTAATGGAACTGGAAAATTTTTTGATGTTTTCATCATCATTACATTTGGTTTGAAATAGTAATAAAAAATAAATACTATCATGTTTTAAATGAGTAATGCAAAAGAACCTGACAATATTAAATGTCAGGAAAATGAAATATTTCTACCAGGTAACATGTGCAAGAAAGCATTATGTTGATTACTGTTATGGGAATTTTGCTGAAAAATTAGCAACTCAATGAATGAAGATTGGAAACATATAAAATTATATATTTAAAAATACCTTATTTTGCATGTTTCTAATCTTCATTCATTTACACATATACATGTTTAAAATTGTCACTTAATGGGATACTTAAATTACAATTACAAGAAATCCGATGCTTCATTCTGATATTATAAAGCAAATGTTAATAAGTACTTAATCAAATTGTTAGCATCACTTACTTTGGTTGATGAAAACTATATATTATAAAGAAATTTAGTGTATAATGAGCAATTATTTATTGTGACATTGTCACATCCTGGACTGCACTTTTAATCATATTTTTAATTTATTGAAGAAAACTGTCACTTAAAACAGGTTAAATTAGAATTAAAAAACACTAAACTTATAAACCAGCAAATTTTTATAACAAATGCAAATGTTTTCTTCACCCATGTTGAATGGGCATCATCGGGCAAACTAATCACTGAAACAAACATTGTCGGAACATCTGTGCAGAGGGGAGGTGCACATGTGTTCGGCAATTTCCTGTTATTTGGTGATTAGTTTGTCCGATGATGACCATTCAATATGGGTGAAAACATTTGCATTTGTTATAAAAATTTGCTTGTTTATAGGTTTAGTGTTTTATAATTCTAATGTTTTTAATTTATTTAATTTGAAATATATGCTCTCCATCTCAAATTATTAGTAATGTCTGACATCATACTTTTCCTTTAACAAGAGTTGTGCTGGTCATCTATTGACTGCTTTCAGGGGAAAAGGTTTGAATTGAAATTGGGTGACTTCTGGTCTGCATTGGACATTTGTATATAGTTAATTGGGGCCTCCAGCCCTAAGGAGTTTAATAGATGAAATTCAAGAGCAGATATGGAATATCTGCTCTTGAATTTCATCTATTAAACTCCATTCTCAAGATTAAGGAAAGACAGATGGATAGATGACAGTGGGAATTTATAGAGGTACAATTTTTTCAAATGCAGCCCAATCTGAAACTTTACTTGACATACCTAATTATGCTATTTTGAAATCCTTAGAAAATAATTTTTAATTTTCAAGTGAAAAATTAGTCCAAGAACGAATTGTTTCTAAGAAGGTTGTTTTCAGTTCTCTTGGCACTTGTCGTGGTACTGTACTTCTTAACAGTCATGTTACAAACATACATTATCTTATTGACATACTCAAGCTACAATAGACATTAAGGTTTGTCAGTGCATGTTGTTGCATACAATAGAAGAGAGTACAGGTGGCACAAGTATTGAATTTAACATCTATTTTATACAAAAATGTCAAACAATATTAAAATGTTAATATATTAATTTAAGAAAAGATCATTATTGTGGAATACTACACACAAAGATTACAAGAACAAAACAAACAAACAAAATTTTTAGTGTGGATTGATATAGATTAGATGTTAATAAATCATCTAAGGAAATTTAGTAATGGCCACACAAATGTTCATTGTTTTAGGTGAATCCATAGCTTTATTTGTTTGTGTTTAATTTGAAAATATTTTTCTAATAAAAAAAGAAAATATTACAATTTTACTAGTGTCCAACCCGTCTATGATTAGCTTTCAAGCATTAATAATTTGATGTCTAAGAATGTTGGAAAATGTACTTTTCTGCAGTATATATTCGTATAATGGACTTATTTTATGTTTGTGTGTTCCCAACCTTAATGTAAAATTCAAAGTATTAGCATTTTGCTTCAATGAAAGTAAATTCCAAAGCTCCTTGCTTAACATTAATTCTAAAAATGTTTTGTTTTAAAAAACATATATTAAATAAAAACTTTGAGAAAAAAATTTTTAAATGTTATAAAAAAAAACAGATCTTTGTGTATAGATAACTGAAACGAGTATGTAATTAAAATATATGAAATTAAATATTTATTAAATTAATTTATTTCAAATTCTTGCATTAAAAAACTTAAGAATTTGTAATGATCTTTTAGTGTTTGTAAATATTTTGTCTGTTTGGACAGTTTTCACCTTTTTTTTTAAACAAGCCTAAAATGTTTTTCAATTACTGAAATATAATAATGAAAAATAAAAAAATGAGAAGTTGCATGACTATGACTAATGACTGCAGGAAATGTGATATTTAATCAGATGATTGGAATAACAAATTTTCTAGATTTTTAAATTCTATTTATGTAACTGAGATAAAGCATAAATTACAAAAAACTCATTCAGATATTTTCATTAATATTACCAGAAGGATTGCAAATGAACATGATTAAATGCAATTGAGAAATCATTTTAAAATATAGTTATTTCAAATGAGGTATTTACTGTATTAATTTTAATTAAATTTAAAAAATTACATTTTTATGTGATATTTAACTTACAAAATATGTAAATAGTAAAAAACCAACATAGCTGGTTTTTGTTTTTTAGTGAAAAAGCAAAATTGGAAGTTTTCAAAAACTTTGCTGTTTGTATATTTAAAATTTGTCATTGTTTAATATAAAATTATCATTGTTTAATATAAACATTGTAAAATTATACAAGTTTATATTAAACAATGATAAATTATCAATAAATTTGAAGTTTAATTTTTTTTTTCCTAAATATTTTACAGTTGCATCATATAGATGTAGTAAAGAAATTTTTGGAAGAACAATATATCTAAATTGTCCAGAAGCAGGAGATTCTCCAGATAAAAAGTATTGTTGCGGAACAGAGAAAATTCGTTATTGTTGTAATACTGAAGAATTTGCCAAGACAATGTAAGCCTTTCATTTTCTATGAAATTTGTTTTTCTAATACGATGATGAATAAGTTTTTTTAATTAAATTTTTAAATTAGTTACATAAGTAAAGTCATACATGTATTAGGATGACCACCACCATAATAACATAAATAAAAATCCCATTAAAAACAATACAATGCAATAAAAAATTAAAAATAAGCATAAATAGTAAGATTAAAAGTACAAGAGTGTAAAAATTATTTTTAAAAATAATAATCAATTTAAATAATAGGCTAAACAATAGAGCTTTTAAAATCAAAAAAAATCATAATCTATTATTCTTTAAAACTTATTATTACAAAGTATAATGTTCATGTAAGTAGAAAAATAATACGATATATTTATACTTATTCTGTAGCTGAAAGAATATTTTTTCAGTATTTCATGTAAAGTTTTTTATTTAATATTAGGGTAAACATCAGGCTTTTGTTATCTAAATACTTATACTCAATGCAATAATGCAAATACAAAAGTGAATATTTGTATTTGCTTATAGGGATAATTTTGACATATGTATTTCAAATATTACGTAGTTTTCTAAATTGATTATCAAAAAATTATATTCAGATTGTATTTAATTTTTTTATCTTATTACTTCATTTATCTAAGCAGTTAGTTATTGATTTAATAATCTTTGAAAATTAATATCTTTGTTTCTGTTGGTTCTGTTTTATTATTATTGTTGAAATTCAATTATTTTTTTTAATTATGTTATTATTTCTGGACTTATATAAATATGTTTGTGTATATAAATATAAATTTCAAATAACATAAAAATCTGAGTCATGTTGATTGATTCATTAATTTATAATTTGTGGTCGTATTAGTAGAATTCTCTAATAAAAAAACAAGTATATAAAATCATTTTTTAGATATTCATAATTTATTATATTATTATGCATATCTAAAACTAATTTTTTTTAAATATTGAAAATTGTTTTTTAGACTTTATCTGAGTTATTTATTATATTGTTAAATTTACATACAATATTGAACTAGTCTAAAAGTGAAATAAATAAAACAAAACAAAAATATTGAAATTGCATTATGATTTTTTTTTCTTTTTAAATTTTTGGACTGCAATTTGAAAAAATTATAGACCTATAAATTCTCACTGTCAATTTCAAGAAGGGAGATAGATAGATGAAAGATGAGATCAGATAGGGAAACCTTAGGGGCAGGAGGCCACGATTAACTATACTGTATATGAACTCCCAATGCAATCCAGAAGTCACGTTATTTCAATTCAAAAGTTTTTCCTGAAAGGTATTAGATAGATGACCAGCATGACTATATTGTTGAGGGAATAGTATGATGTACAGGGGCAAGCCACTATTAATTTGATGTGGAGAGCATATATTTTAAATTAAATTATTCATTCTATTGTGATAAAATTCTTAAAACAGTGAAGGAAGTGGTAAAAAGTTGAAAATATTTCAGTAAATAAATAAACATGTACAAAACATGTTGTCTTCAAGAATTGTTTTCTGTTTCTGAAGATGATATTTTGTATATGCACAAATAAACGAGTTGCCGTTTGTTTTAATCATTTTAAAACCAATAGAATGAATTTGTTTTTTTGTTATTTCATATCAATAATTGTGTAAATATCACATGTTTTACTTCCAGTATTATTAATGTTTTAATAAGTTATGCAAGTTTGAATTTATTGGCAAACTTTTTCTATTTATAATTTAGTAATAATTATTAAGGAAGAATTTTTTTTTCTTTTAAAACATGTACTGAAGTTTTACATGCAATCTATGGCTTACATTGAGAAAATATTATACATAATAGCTTATTTTATGCTTCAACAGTTTAATGATTTTAAAGCTTCTTGTTTTTCCTAAAATAAAAGATTGATTTAAAAAAATTTTTTAGTATAACTGCTCTTTTAACCATAGTAAATAATAGGTGATTAGAAAATTTATATTGGATGTTTTTTTTCCCTATAGACTGAAAGTGCCTTCTTGATATGTCTATTACAGGTTTGCATGTGTCAAGTTCTGTCCTTATGATAAAAGACAGAACTTGATACATGCAGTATGATTATCCTGAAAATTTTTGGTAATCTGTCCTGGATATCTGAATGGGAGTCTAGGTTCTTCAGACAAGTGTTTAAGATGATTTAATCATCTTACAAGGAAAGGCAACCAAATAATTACCAAATTAGCAGAAATCATTCTCAGCAAAGAAAATAGCAAATACTCCAACACCTTATTTGCTGAGAAAAACTAATTCTTTGCAAATGTTTTTTACCTGTTTTACAAGCCATTTTCAATTGCAAAATCCAAGTTAATGATTGTAAATCAAATATTTTCAAACATTTTTATATTGTTTTTTTTTTTTATGTTACTCACTCAAATGACTGCCATAATTAATTAGGTTATAAATTTGCTTTTAATAATGATTAGATATTAAGTAATTTGGTATTAATTTGGAAAGTTTATTATATCTTTTTGTGATGCGTTCATTTAATTTAAATTTCATAATATGTTTAAATTTTGTATTTAAATTTTGTTCCAATGTTTGAAAATATTTTATAAGTTCATATCATATGGATGTTCTGAGTTTGAATATTAAGTTATTTTAAGAAATTTTTTTTAATCTTTATTTTTGCAGGAAAGGATGGTTATATTTTTTCACTAACAAATTATTTATTTTTCCATTTCTTTACTAATTTACTTTATTAAATAAATGAATTTGTAAATATATTTCTGTGCTCACCATTGAATTTATTAGCAATTGTAAATGATTACCAATACTGAAGTTACTCGAATTTGTTCAAAGACACACACTAAATAACAGCAAATGACTTGAAAGTAGAGATTACAAGCATACTGCATAGCAGAGGCTGTGGGTTTTTAATTAAAATAACAATAAAAGACAGAAGAAATAAAAGTTTACGTACAGAAATTTTTTACCTTGGGAGTATTTTGTAGATTTGTGTCAATTGAATTTTTATCATTATATATATCTTAGGTTGTGTTGTAAATAAAAATAATCTATTTTCATGTTTTTATCAAATAAATTAATATGATAGTATTATGTTGTTAATTTATGTACAGAACACTTGCTAATCTGGACTCTCAATTATCTGATGTACCTCGTTTTTATATTTCTCTTTTATTTGTTTTTTTTTAAAGGACATTCAGTAAACTTGTAACAATAAATTTAATAAAGAATTAAAATTACAATTACCATCTCATTGTACATAATTTTGCAATAACAAACCAGTACAGCTCCAAAAGAGATGTCCTGTAACAAAACCACTCTTGAACTACCAGATATATGGGTTACACTCTACAAAATGTTAAAATAATTGCATATACATTTATTTTATTTTAAGATAGCTATGTTAAAATACATTTTGTTAAAATTATAACATGTATATTTGTATTTTAGGATAGCTATATTTTTATTTATTTATTCTTCTATTCATTAGTGATATGCTTCCTGTTTATATTAAACATAAATTTTTTGAATTAATTTAAATTTTTGTAAATTACTACATGCTAAGATTTAAACCATGTTTTTGGAATCTTTTATTGTAGTTTGAATATTACATTATATATGCTCTGCCTTAAGATGACATTTTGAAATGTCAAAAGTAAGTAAGGAACCAAAACCAACATAGCGCAATGGGGACCAAAATCTGAGGAGTGGCTAACTCTATTTTAAAATCTAAGTTGAGGGAGAGTTTACAAACATTCTAACATAATACCTCTGAGAGAGTGTGAGGAGGTCTTCTCCATCCATTGAGGCATATTTGTCGGGGATCCTTTATGGAGCCGGGAACATGGCAAACAAGCCGTTGTCTTCTATGGCCTTCCTAGTATGTCTGCCCCAAGGCTTGAGTTTCAGCCCCTTTTATATGCGTGGTGCCTGAGAATTGACTCAGTGACTTTGATTTAATGTGTTCTAAATTTGAGTTGTGTCCAGGTTTTTTTCTGATGCGGGATATCAAGAACCAGACTATTCAGTGGAATTATTGCTATTTTCTAGCTGTTTTTATGACTCCTCTTATCTCATAATTCAATGTTTGACAGTTTCCCTTATTAATAATTGACTGTCTTGACTAAGATCGTAACCTAAGTTCAAACATCCTAGTGATGGTTGACTTTGATATTTGATTGGTTTTATCTATCAGAGTGTTGTGAGAAAAAGGATATGTGGTTTTTCCACTTCGTCATCTTTTCACCATTTGATCTTTTGGTCACCCTTTTCTCGGGTAGAATATTACTTTAAATATTTAATTAATTGGAAGTTGTTGAATTGAAGTATTTGTGATTAATTCACAATGAAAATAGAAAAACTGCAAAGAGTAAGACTATTTATGTTTACAAGTAAGTGTAAGTTTTAATACCACTGCAAAATCTCCAAGTAGCTAAATAGAATATTAGAAAACTATAAATTAAAGGGAATAGAACTTATTTATTCTATGAGAACTTGCAAAAATACAGTATACATTTACTTATTATTAGAGGTCGGATGAAAAGGAAAATGATGTAGATCATCAATAGAATAAAAATATCTAATTAGTAAACAAATGCAAAATATAAATACTTTACTGGTGGTTTATACTTTTTCCTATCAAAATTCATTATTTCTTACTTTCCTCCAATTCTTGAGAGGAAGTGTAAAATTCATGAAGCAACATACATGTCAGATGCTGAGTTCTTAGGAGATTTAATCATGTATTAATCCTCCAGTGTTGTTGAGATATTTTATCATCTCAGATAAAATTGAATAAAGAACAAATATTTGTTGTACATTGATTCATAACAAATATTTAATAAATCTTTAGACTTAAAAATTTAACATATTGTTACTGCTGATTTTATGTTACTGAAATATTTTATTAGTTCATATGCAATTTCTGATAAGGTGTATTATATAAACTGATTCCCTGAGCTACTACTTAGAAACATAACCTTTAATCATTTCATTAAATGCTTATTAATAAGGCAATTGGAGTGTTTAATATCATGCTAAACTTGTGAATTGATAGGTAGTGTTTACAGTATTTTAGTGTCATGGGGAATTGGTTGGAATTATTCAGATGGACTAGGAAATGAGTTAGTTTTTTCATGAGAAATGAATGAAAATACCTCTCTAATATTTGAATTTCTGATATTCAAATTATTTTCAGGAACACATTATATTTGGTTAACTGGATAAGGCTGTATACAATATTAGTTTTAAATTTTAAAAAACTTTTATGATGTAAAACTAATATTAAAAAGTTATGAGAAATAAACTCCTACATTAAAAAAAATTTATATATATATATTGAGTAGCATAATATTTTATTTATTTTAAATAAATTAATAGTTAGGCTAGAAATTAATAAAATTTGTTTACATTTCAGAAATGCCATTGGACTTATAATTGGTGTTCTTATATCTGCAATTGTTGTTATTGTTGTCATTGTAGTTGTATCATGCTTTTGCTGCAGTTGTTGCTTGTTGGCAAAACGTCGACAACAAAGAGGAAGAGTATTGTATGGTAAGAAATTCTGATAGTCTGTTTATAATGCTCTATAAATAATATATTAAATTTTTATAATATATTATTTATTATAAAATTTTACACAAGTAATGCAAATCGTGTTATTACTTTGCAGAGTGTAAAAATTGAGTTAACAAAATTTTTACTTCAATATTATTATGTCTTAAATAAAACCTTAATTCAAACATTTATTTTTAAAAGATGTTTAATACAAAATTCAAACTTACAAATGTAAAACACAAATACAAAAAAACAAGAAATATAACATATTATTTTTGATCTTCCTATAAGGATATATATATAGTATATATAGTAGATATATATATAGTATATATATATCAACTATATAAGGATATTTATATCCTTATATAGTTGAATTCCTGGGGAATGACACATACAAATAAATAGGATCTTTGGGTTACAATAAACAAGTATAGACAAAACAATATATTAAAAAAAACATAGGATTTGAGCAGATACTTAGTCAATATAAAATTGAATGTTAAGAATGTCAAAGTATTTAAAAACTTAGGAAGTATTTGTAATGACTAAAATATCCAACCAAATATATTTGCTTAATATTTATATATGTGCCATTAAAACTTGGAACTAACTTTTTTATGGAGTTCATGTACTCTAGTTCCAATTTGTAAAATGATTAGTCTAGTCCAGGCATGGTGAACATCGTCTAATGAATTTATGCGGCCTGCGATTAATCTTTTAATATTAGCTACTCAAGTCCGAATAGCTCAATGAAAAATTCTGATGCCTAAAAAAAAGGGGTGCCAACAACTCGCTGTGCATTTAGAGTTAATCCTCCATTACAAATCTCTTAAGTACAGCGTAGAATGTTGATAAAGCATGATAATGTGAAAAATGTATCTGTAATCTCTATGTACAATTTAGTCTCTACGGGATGACACCACAATGAGCTCTCGCACCACCTCAAAATCTTCCTAGAGCAGCCTCTGATTCAGCCTGTGAAAAAGTTCTCTTTCCAATTTGGCCGGGGGCAAAAACTGTTGGCCACCCCTGGTCTAGTCTTTTGGTGGTGGCAAGAGATTTAAGAATCTGTTATGATGCATCTTACAATTGAAGAAGTGAAGTTTAAGTTTGAAATCAAATTTTGAAAAAATTTTTTAACTAATTAATTTTATTATAAATTTTGTTAAGTAATAAAAAATTAGGAAAATAATATCATGAAACATAGTTTGGCAGCTGTTTCCATGCACTTCTGTGTATTCAGTAATTTTTCATTTTATTGCTGCATTATAATAGTCTTGAGGACATTTAAATAAAAAAAATATATTATTGATCTACTTTTTTCCTTTATCTAATATGCAAAGAATATATTCCAAATTAATGATTTTTAATAATATTTACATGNGATCTTTTAGTGTTTGTAAATATTTTGTCTGTTTGGACAGTTTTCACCTTTTTTTTTAAACAAGCCTAAAATGTTTTTCAATTACTGAAATATAATAATGAAAAATAAAAAAATGAGAAGTTGCATGACTATGACTAATGACTGCAGGAAATGTGATATTTAATCAGATGATTGGAATAACAAATTTTCTAGATTTTTAAATTCTATTTATGTAACTGAGATAAAGCATAAATTACAAAAAACTCATTCAGATATTTTCATTAATATTACCAGAAGGATTGCAAATGAACATGATTAAATGCAATTGAGAAATCATTTTAAAATATAGTTATTTCAAATGAGGTATTTACTGTATTAATTTTAATTAAATTTAAAAAATTACATTTTTATGTGATATTTAACTTACAAAATATGTAAATAGTAAAAAACCAACATAGCTGGTTTTTGTTTTTTAGTGAAAAAGCAAAATTGGAAGTTTTCAAAAACTTTGCTGTTTGTATATTTAAAATTTGTCATTGTTTAATATAAAATTATCATTGTTTAATATAAACATTGTAAAATTATACAAGTTTATATTAAACAATGATAAATTATCAATAAATTTGAAGTTTAATTTTTTTTTTCCTAAATATTTTACAGTTGCATCATATAGATGTAGTAAAGAAATTTTTGGAAGAACAATATATCTAAATTGTCCAGAAGCAGGAGATTCTCCAGATAAAAAGTATTGTTGCGGAACAGAGAAAATTCGTTATTGTTGTAATACTGAAGAATTTGCCAAGACAATGTAAGCCTTTCATTTTCTATGAAATTTGTTTTTCTAATACGATGATGAATAAGTTTTTTTAATTAAATTTTTAAATTAGTTACATAAGTAAAGTCATACATGTATTAGGATGACCACCACCATAATAACATAAATAAAAATCCCATTAAAAACAATACAATGCAATAAAAAATTAAAAATAAGCATAAATAGTAAGATTAAAAGTACAAGAGTGTAAAAATTATTTTTAAAAATAATAATCAATTTAAATAATAGGCTAAACAATAGAGCTTTTAAAATCAAAAAAAATCATAATCTATTATTCTTTAAAACTTATTATTACAAAGTATAATGTTCATGTAAGTAGAAAAATAATACGATATATTTATACTTATTCTGTAGCTGAAAGAATATTTTTTCAGTATTTCATGTAAAGTTTTTTATTTAATATTAGGGTAAACATCAGGCTTTTGTTATCTAAATACTTATACTCAATGCAATAATGCAAATACAAAAGTGAATATTTGTATTTGCTTATAGGGATAATTTTGACATATGTATTTCAAATATTACGTAGTTTTCTAAATTGATTATCAAAAAATTATATTCAGATTGTATTTAATTTTTTTATCTTATTACTTCATTTATCTAAGCAGTTAGTTATTGATTTAATAATCTTTGAAAATTAATATCTTTGTTTCTGTTGGTTCTGTTTTATTATTATTGTTGAAATTCAATTATTTTTTTTAATTATGTTATTATTTCTGGACTTATATAAATATGTTTGTGTATANATTTTTAATTATTATAAAATGGTAAAAAGCTTAATTTTAAGGGCAGGAGTGGGTTTTATAAAAAAAAATTGCAAATTCTAATAATGAGTAATAACAGAATTGGGAGAGTAAAAAAAAAAAAAATGAAATTTTAAATCAAATCTCGTTGTAGCCAAGTAATAAACTCTTTGTGGACCAGTTTGAATAGCATTAGCTCTATCAAAAAGACAAAACGTTTGATTTAAAGGGCAGGAGTGGGTTTTATAAAAAAAAATTGCAAATTCTAATAATGAGTAATAACAGAATTGGGAGAGTAAAAAAAAAATGAAATTTTAAATCAAATCTCGTTGTAGCCAAGTAATAAACTCTTTGTGGACCAGTTTGAGTAGCATTAGCTCTATCAAAAAGACAAAACGTTTGATTTAAAAAAATTATCGCTGTTTATGGTGTGATTACTTCTTTAATTAATTTTATTAGAATTTAAATAATTTATTCTTACTGTTTTATGATAAAAGTAATTTTATCCGGATATGGCATCCTATAGCTATAAAACCGGTGTTCTTGTTATGCAAAAAAATAGGTTATATGGAAGTTCTTAGCAAATAATATCATATATATTTCTTAATCAGATTTGTTGTATTGATTTTACAGAGTAATTTTCTAAATAATATCGTAATAGCTTTGCAAAGAGAATATACGAACGTGAATATTCTTGCATCATATGAAATCAGGAAATAAGTTAACATTAGTTTGAGAAATTCAATACACACTATTATTTTTTTTATTACGCTTAAAAAGCCTTTTTTTTAATTATATGCATTATAAGTTCGATTGGTTTATCTAGTTACAGCAACGCGACACATGGGCGATCTTCCGAAGAGGATGCCTCCCGGGAGAACTTTCTATGGAAAACTGGTCTCTATTTAGGTGTTACTAACGTGAAGAAAACTCGTAAAACGCCACGTTGGCGAGGCGTGAACCCATAACCGACTATCACTGTTTAGTAGTTTTATCCACTCTGCTTCAGAGCTTCGATTGACCTATAGTAGGACGGTTGGATGGAGAAAATGACACGATCAGACATACTTCATAAACGAATTGAGCCATCTGTGAAAACTTCTGAGCCAAACCGGATCCGTATTTTAAATTAATCTCTCAGGGCAGAAGATTGGTGCTTTCATGTTCTCAAATACAGTATCTGGCTATCAAATACAGTACCATTAGCTATGTATAATTGATTAAATTTCAAGTTTTTAACACTGTGTAATAGGGGTCTGGGTGGTCTACACTATTACTTTATCAACCTAGGAGTCCAGGTTCAAGCCCGGGTGGATATCAAGAATTATTCATGAATACTTTATGTCTCTGAGAAAGTGGCTTAGCGTGGATGTCAGCCGCCTGGGGCGAAGGAAAATTTCGCCGCCCCCTTATTTAGGTATCTTAATTTAAAAGACTAAAATTCAGTTTCGTCACAGAATAAGTAATGAAAAATTCCGTGCTCATTTCAATCGGTTCGAATCGTAGGTGCGACAAAAATATGAAATGAAATGGTTCAAATTTTTACAAGATATTATTATTATTTATTGTGAAATTTTGCCCCTAAAAGTGGCGCCCGGGGTGGGCAGCTCCTGCCGCCCCCACTACGCTACGCCACTGCTCTGAGACAAAGCAACGTGAGACAAAGCCCGTCACTCACAACACGGCTGCTCCATTGTGGGCTTGGACGAATACACAATGGGCTTGCTTGAAAGGACCTCCTAGTGTCCACAGTGAAAAAAGAGTAAAAAACAATCTAAATACAATACTGTATTATAAATGACTAGCTGTTACTCGCGGCTTTGCCCGCGCGGATTTCGCAAGCAAACCCCATTTATATTCAGTATATCAACAACCATAGTAATTGTTATATAACACCTACCGCTGAGAATGATGATAATTGCCGAGAATCAAACGAACTATTTTCAATTTGATCAATTTTCTGGAACGTTTACAATCGTTCTATAATCGAACCAATATGCAATAACAAATTTGAATTTAAAACGGTTTGAACATTTTTTAAATCGAAATAGATAAATATATTTATAACAATGTCTGAAATGT